TATGTTGTCTTGAATTCTCTAGCCAAGTGGGAGAAAAATTAAGACTACTTTCTTCTGTCTTTTTCATTGACCAAACGCAAGCTGAGAAACAGCAATGCCAAATAAAATGATAATGCAGGTGCAGGTCAGCTTAGTTCTTACAGTGTTACTTTATACCATTTTCCTACTGAGCATAGTAAAATATTTCATGCATTATTCTGTCGTGCTGGGAAATTCACCAAGAGCTGGGGAACGTGTAAATTGAAATATGCAAATCTAATCCTTGCTAAAACTTACTGTCGCTAGCAGCATTTCTAGTATGGGGCGTGTGGCTGGGGCATGATCGGCTGGCGTTCTGTCCTCGCTTTGCCACCGATACACTTTGTGGCCGTGGGCAGCTGCTCTCCATCCTGGTATTTCAGAGTTGGACACAGGAAAGTGGTGGTACTTGCCTCTGACCCTAGATGTCAAACCATTGTCTAAGTTCTGTATGTCGGTGTCGTTTTTTTCATGATGGTATCTCTGGTAGTTCTTTGAAGAAGGTCTTGATTTTTGACAGTTGAAGTATGTGACATTTTATAGAGTTCTAATGTTCATAGTTACGAAGTACATGACACTCGTAGATGGGCAAACGTAAGTACAGCAGGGATCAAGGAGAGGATTTGCTCGAGAGCAGCAATAGGTGGTGATGGTGAGGCCCGTTTCTCAGCCTTTTGGCTGAAATATTAGCGATATTACTTATGAAGCTTTTTTGGTTTTCTTGCTGTTTCAGTTCTGTAGTAAAGTGAGTCAATGCTGGACAAATGTCAGAAAAGCAGGAACATTTCTAGAAATATCCTTTGATTTCTGACTGGAAATGAGAAACTGTCTAAATATTCTGAGTCTTTAAATAGACACTGGCTGAAGGACACTATAGCCTCCAAGTCTCCTTGATATTTGCAGTGTTCTTCATGTTCCCCTTCGCCCTGTGCTGTTGCAGCGCTCTTTTCACCCTTTTATAACTTGCACGAAACCTGCTTCTGTTGAAAGCATTTCTCCAGTGGTCCTTCCCAGCTGTCTGCAAGCCTTCCTCTTCATACAGCTGATCTTGGCCATGTTATGTTTGGCGAAAACTACACCGTGAAACTCCTATCCTCGATTGATGTAATGACGGTATGAAAAGCTGTCAGCGTAGATGTGATAATACTCTCAAAACGTGAGTTTTTCAGCTCTTGATTTCTCTGAGGAGGCTGCAGTACGTTGCCTCTGCAAAGCACAGGTCTGCTGGTATAAGCCAGGGTAGTGCTCAGCGTGCCACAACGCTTACCAGGTCCCTTCATCTGTCACCAGCGTAGGCATGGTCTTTATCAGAGCAAGAGCCCAGACACTGCAAACCTTCATTTATGCAAATTAAGTCGAACTTCCAAGCTTTGCTTAAAATAACATTCAATTTGTAAAATAAATAAATGAAGGTTTATGATGCGTTCGTTGGGGCAGGAATGTTTGTTTCTGGTGTGTGACTGATCTTTTACTTTCTTATTCCTTTTCAGGAGGTGCATCCCTCAGCCTTCCTGGGTGAAATCAGTGTAGATAACATATTTCTTGGAGGTGTTGCAATTCCAGTTTGCCAGTGGATATCTTTGATTTTTGCTTTTCATTTTTCTAACACTTCTTAATATATAATGCTCATGATAGAGGAAAAATGTTTGTCTGTTCTAGTATCTCTGTCTTCAGGATTTAAGTATTATTTTTAAAAGGAGATGAATCAAATAGTGGGGAGGGTTTGGTTGTTTTAAAATGTTTGATGTAACTCCAGTACAAAGCTCCCCACTGTTGTTTGTGGAGTGTGGGCAGTGTAACATCCCTCCATAAACCTGGAGTTGGCTACTGCGGGAGGATTTCGGGTAAGGCGGATGAACTAGGTAACCAAGAAAATGAGCTGTCCTAGTGCTTGCTTTTGAAACGAGCTCTGTCTGGGATTAGTATCCTAGAGCTGCAGCTGGGATTAACTTTGTAGGTACAAATAGTAAGATGCTAAAGCGTGGCCTCCTCGCAAGTCCTACACACATTCGCTCAGTGTAGGAATGTTTTTGTTTCACTTGCCTGCCTCTTTGGTGTGGCATACAATGCATATAATCTGATTCTCTGAATGAACCTTTGTTTGGGGAAATACTGTTAGTTTTGGCTCTTGGAGAGCTGAGCTGACAGGCCCAACTCCCCAACAACACAGATCGGAGATTAAAAAACAAACTAAAGCCACGCCTTCAAAAAAAAATGCTGGGGAGAAGCAAAAAAGTTCCTTTTCTGGGTTGCTGAAAAAGCTAATCTATTTAGCTTTTTAGTAATCTAAAATCAGAGGTGTTTTTTTTTTCTATTGCTTAAATTAAGAGCCTCATTACCGTCACCTGCAATAAACAGAAAAATCTTAAGTCTACCTCAAAAGATTGCATGATCATGTGCAGGAAGGAATTGGGGGGGAGGCACAGAGGAAGTGGGTTTTGAGGCAGGAGTTAACAAGGCAAAAAGGGACACAATACGTTTTTGTAGCTCGTTCCTGTAAGGTGAATTTACAAACTTCAGATTTGAAAACAAGACAGTTTGCTTACAATTATATAGTACACAAGACCCCTATGGTCTGTATGAGAAGTGATTCCTGCAGCTCTGCAGTAGCTGCTTTTCAAGGTATCTTTGCTGTGTTTGCTGAGTTTGCTGAGAATATATATTTGGGCAGCAGGGTCAGGCCTGTGGAATCTGAGCCGCGGCGCTCAGAGGTTTATGTTTAAATTCCATGTACGATAGATCTAGGCCAGGTGCTATCCGAGTGCAAAAGAAAAAAATAACTTCTCCTGAGCTAGAGAGCCAACTCTAGCCCTACATATCAAAACAAGTGAAAGATGAGGGTGGAAATTTAAGGTTTTACATGCAGAGTATGGCAGTATGTCCAAAAAAAAAAAAAAATCTGTGTCCCACTTGTAGTGCTGTCACTCACACACTTCATAGCCATGGGCATATATATGCGGCATTTAGTTCACTACAATCGCAAGATAGCTAGCCAGCTGAAATGCCTTGCTCAGCAACCTTTGTATGTCACGGTGTGGAGAAGGAACTTAATTTCTGAATGGGGGAAGGGGATTTTTCAGACTGGTATTTAAGGCAAAGTCTTCCCTATTGTCTTCTATTAGAAAAGGATTTGAAACATAATGCTATGGTACGGTTTTGACCGTTTCTGAGGTAGATAAAAAATGGGGAACTGCAAGTTGAATCAGAAACGGCTTAATAAAGCATTTGAGCTGTATAAAAAACGTAAGTTCTACCGTACCATGCTATATAGTTTTCATTTAATCAACATGTATTCAAACCACCTATTAAATGGAGGTGATGTAAGCTGACCAGACCAGCCTTCTGAGATTGTCTTGTTTTGGGTGGAATTTATCTTAATATTTAAAACTCTCCTTCTCTGCCCCTTCAGTGCTCTCTGTAGAAATCAGTGTTTCTTAATGCTGGTTAGTAATGAAAAAAACCCTAAACTGCCTCTGAGTTTGCACACAGATAAATGTACATTTCTGTCCAAATCCAGAGAGTGGTTGTGTCATGTGGTTTTATGCTGACCGAAGTCCATCTTAAAATCCTCTCATTTAAGGGAGGAGAACAGGGGATTCTTCTGTTGTGAGTCATCTTATATCAGAGCTTGATCATGCTTCTACTGATCTCTGCAGGAGTTTTTCCATTGAGTTTATTGATTGCATGGTTTTTCAGTGTTATAGAGAGCTACTGGTTTAAATTCAGTCATCCTAACAGCTGTGAATGGCATCTCACGTGTCCCATACCTGTTAAGGAAGAAAGTCACCCATTTGTCTTGACCCTACTGAGTCAAAAGCATCACTAAAATATCCTGTAAGATCATTCATTAACTGCTCTTCTAGATAATATTTGTTAGCCTACACTTCAAATGCTGTTCATTGCTAATCACCAGTGGAAGGCAACCCTTTAACGTACAGTCTTTAAAAAAAATAAAAAAAATCTATGGAGACGAGAATGGAAGAACCCTCCATAGGTACTGTTTTACTGTGTGTGCCTGAAATGCTTTATTTTGGGTGTTATTAACAGAAGAAAATTATGAGATTCTCAGAGGCAAAACTTTGCATAAAAGTGGACATTGCCAGGGTAAAATCTGTTTTGTACCATGTTAGAATACATACTTCTCCCTACTTACATTTCAGTTGATTGAAGAAAAATTTAAAAATCAAACCTGTTTAAGGGAATCGGGTCACACTCTCACAATGGTCGTTTGTTTCTTGTACTTTGCTGCAAATCTTGTGATGTTTGAACGTTTGTAATTGTTTTTAAAACACAGCTGCTTTCACTGGAATTTTAGAAATGCAGAGAGTTGTGTTACTCTGACAGATCAGTGCTGCGTTATCTGTCTGCCTGCTTGGTTCTCAGTTGCCTGAGGTAGTTCCTGAGCTGGGAAAAAGTATGTAAAAAACTTGGGAATGGACTCCAGCCTCTCTTGGGATACCCAGGCCTCATAGTTGAAAGCAGCAGCATATGGAAGTCGCAGCCTCGATTATCTGCAGCTTCTCTTCTGAAAAAAACGTGACTCCTCCAATGCATGTCAGGACCCCTGTGTCCAAGGGGAATTCCAGCTCTGTTGGCTGTTCAGCTGAAGCTTTTTTAGTTGGTTTACTATGATCAAATCCCTTGAGGACATTTGGTCTCAGGAGGTGGAGTTTTCTGCATGGGAGACTGAACTGAGCTGCTGGAATGTATTGCACATTATCCACCAGATGGTTTTCAGCCACTTTGATTTGATCTGTGTTTGATAGTGATGAAGATATGAAAGTCACATATTCCTCCAGCATTGCTTACGTGAGCCGGCCCATCCTGGGTAGCACAGGCTGTGCTTGTGGCAGCAACAGCCCCTGCAGAATGCAACCAAGAGCTTAGTTCCCTCTGCGCTCCTCTCCTTGGGCACCGTCTGTGTAGCACCAGCACCAGGTCATGCCAGTGGTGGTGTGGATGCAACTGTCCCAGCTTGTACCATGGAGTATTTGGTCCAAGCCTCCCTTGGGACGCTCTCCTCCTCCCCTCTTTGGAACCAGCACTCCTGCAGAGTTGCAGCAGCCGTTGTAGAAGGAGCGAGGACCATGTGTGCACTGATGTTTGCTCGCAGGTACCTTGTGACTGCCTAGCTGGTCAGCAAGTTGCCCTGCATTTCTTGTAGGAGTCAGCATGGTCTTGGGAGACAGGGAGCTGGCAGGAGCAGCAGCCAGTGGGTCTCTCCATTTGGGTTTTGTTGTTGTTACTTTGCTGCTTTAAAATCTGAAGATGGGTTTCAGTTAGGCAGCTGCTCTCAGTCACAGTGTTGTGCAAAGTAATTGACTTTCCATTGACTTTGGAATTTGGAATAGTGTCTAAATATTGTTGTCAGCTTCATGCTGATTCCTCTCCACTGAGGCTAAAGTCGTTCCACTTATGACCTCAAGCTGGACTTGTGCTTTGCTCCCATGGGAACTAAAAATAATAATTATTTTAAGAATAGGTTCTTAATCACTTCCTTCTTTTGATGCACTACTTTTGTTTAGCATTTTGTAAGAATGTAATAGAAAATGTTTTAAACTATTTGTGTTTTAATTCCAGTTTTAATTAGCTCTTTCAAGATGCAAGGAGGGTACAAGAATTAATTACAGTTCCTTTCAGTTGTTTTGTAGAAAAACATTTGTTGTTGTTATTCTGAGTGAAGATTATTAGAGTTTTGTTGCTTTGGCAAACTGTCGAGTCACGCAGAGCTATGAAGAGATGAACATTAAGTTGACAGATTTCTTAGTCAGAGGCATGTGGGCATTTTGTCAGTGTTGGTGATGCATCAGCATGTTAATCTCCTGTCTCCGAACTGTTAATGTACATGTGAGAAACAGGAAAAGATATGCTTTAATCTGGGTTTAGAAGGAACGATAAGACAAGATACACGATGATTTTGTGGCAGAGCTGGCTGTGCAGTGAACACTGTGAAGGTGATGAGATAGTTTGCAGAGATGGAGAAAACATTAAACAGATGGAGAGCCACAGTCTGCCCTGACCCACAGCAGCTGGGTAACAGTGAGATAAAATACTTAATTTGGAGATCTTTCCATAAACTGAAAGAGTCTTGACACTCAGAAGTGGGATTTTGGGAGATGTATTTCAAAGAGTGGCATATGGGTGCTCTAGGAAAAAAGAAAAAAAAAAAAAAAAATCCAGAAGGGCTTTCCTAGACTTCAGTGAGCAAACAAAGTGTGCTTGTACTGAGTGTCTTAGAGCCCAGCTACAGAGAATAACGCAAGTACATTAATAATTGTTTTTCCTATTCCTTGCTAATAGTTTACGTGGTTTACTATTACTTCCAGTCAGTGAAGTTGCTTGCTCCAGCAAGTCTACTTGCCTTAGAGGGAGCCAATGTCCCATTTTGTGTACCAAATTTTGTTTGCGCTTTCCCTCTTCTCAAGCACCAGAGTCCCAAAGGCTGCAGCAGGGCATTATAGCATAGCCTAGAGGGCTCAGCATACAGCATACACCCTGAAGGGGCAGCTGGGCATGGGCCGTGGTGAACAGAGGACCCACGGGCTTGTCACTTACCTGCTCGCTTGCTGCTGCGAATTGTCCTTTTAGTGCAGTTGATACCTGGCCTCTACATCCACTTCCCTGTGTGTATAAAAGCACAGCAGTTTATTTTTAAAGAGGATGAGGAGCACAAAAAAATCTTTTTATTATTGGGCAACAGCTCACCTGATGGTGGTTTAACCTATTGCTACAACTGGCATTATACGTAGTCGTCAAATTGAAAGAGCAGACCTGGCTTTTCTTTACTTGTCACTTGACCGAGGTCTGGCATTTGCTCATCTGTTACCATCCCGGTTGTGGGAATACCTGAGTGGTAACAGCAGTTGTGGTGCTAGCAAGGGAGAAAGGAAAGGATGAGCCAGCTACTTGACAAAAGTGGTGTTTTAATATCCTGCTGTTGGCAGCTCTGGCATTCTGGCTTCTTTTGTGTAGGCCGCAAGGACTTTTTACTTGTTTATAGTATTACAAGTTTTATTGCAAGTTTTCTTTTAAAAGAGCTGCTCTGAGGAGGTTTCCCAGACCAAGTAGGAAATGGGGAATCAGCAGTTCTCCAGCTTCTGGCCTCCCTCTGCATGGCCTTGGGCAAGCCAAGGGAAGTGCCTGGCACTTCTGTAGGGTGTGCGTCCTATTCTCACAGTGATTTTGGAGCTCAGGTGTAAAATAGGGATGTTAAAGGAAGAATAATTCAGCTCTTTGGGTTCATTTTTACTGAACGCGTGATAGCAAATATACAGTGCCCTAGCGCAGGCCAGTTCTAGTACATCTCTCTCTAGTGCCACTGCAATTCATGGTAGAAGTCATTCCCGATTGACCAGGTTCTTGGTGATCTTTTCTGAGAGAGCAAAGTGTTTGGAGGTGTCGTTGCTCCTGTCACTCATTTGTGTACTCTTCACTACAGAAGACCTTAACCTCTTGACCTGATGCTGGTAATGTTTCAAGAGGAACCTGTTGCCTTTGCGTGTGTTGTCATATCGATCGCAGCTTGTATTGCTGATCCGCTTCTGTTGTAACAAGGATGCGCAAACAGCGTAAGGAGACATAAACTAGGAAGATGTATGGCTAAAACCACAAAACATGAGAGGGAGAACCTGGGGTAGGCATAATACCCATACTTCAATCTGTGGCTTGAAATTTACCACATTATTAATATTTCCTACTACTTCTGCTCTGTCAGTAGTGTGGATTAATGATTCATAAAGGTGTGTTTTAAAGGGCTGGGTAGTTTGTGTTTATACAGTGTTTACTGGAGTCCCTGTTGCTGCTGCTTTTTTCCTTCCCTCTCCCTCCCACCTGCCAAGATTGTTCATACATAAGCCATTTCTGTTTCCAGCCTTCCCTTTCCTTGGATAAAAGTTACTGTCTCTAGTCTGTTGGTGATCCTGTGTGCCCAGCTGTGTTTACCAGCACTGTAGAATTGGTGGGTGGTGGTTTTTCTTGGGCCAGAACTGGCACTTCATTCTTCCTTTCCAGTGTTACCAGCCTGGAAGATAGAATGGAACTGTAGGAATGAACCTCTAGGCCAGGTTTTGGGCTTAATTTTGAGCAATCTTGTTCTCAGTTGATGGAAGCTCATAGGCTGGCATTTGAGAAGGTGGGATACTGGCAAGGAGGAAAGTGAGTTTGGGTGAGATGAGTTGCAGTCCTGCTGAGTACTGCTGAAGATACTTGTGAGACCAGTTGTGACAGTCATTAGCAGGCAGATGAGAACATGAAGGAGTCTTGAAAACTGGGCTCGTCTCTGGCACCTAGGTCAGTAAGCTATGGACAGCATATGGGAAAAGTTGTCACTGGCCAAGTGTGGCTTGTTGTACTTTTTTCTGTTGACAGTTTGGCAGCTTTAGAGGGATGCTTTGTCTTGAAAGGAGTGGCAAGAGAAAACGTGAAATCAGAATGATTTGCTGTCTATTTTGTTTCAGTGGAAAGCTGGTTTCACCAAAATGGAAAAACTTTAAAGGCTTGAAACTTCAGTGGAGAGATAAAATCCGTCTCAATAACGCCATCTGGAGGGCATGGTACATGCAGTGTAAGTATCATGGCTTGCTATAAAAGATTTTCCAAGAGACGTATGTAAGAAGCAAGAAAGAACTGAAATTACTGTCTAATGAAAAGCTCAGAAATCTGCTGAAGGCCCATATGTTTCAGAAGCTGTCATGGCAGTGCCTGTGGATCAGTGCTTTCTTAGAGATGTCCACACAGAGGCTGTAGTGGGCGGTCCAAGCACAGCCTGAGATTTCCCCATTTACTGTTGGCTATCTGGAAGGAGCCCTGGCTAGATCATTTTTTACATCTTTCCATTGAAGTGACAGGGCTCTCTGCAGAGCCTGCACATGCTGAGCACTCAGATTTTCATTCTTGTTTCAGACCTGGAGAAGCGCAAGAATCCAGTGTGCCATTTTGTGACTCCACTGGACGGCTCTGTTGATGTAGATGAACATCGTCGGCCAGAGGTATGTAAAACCTGAGGAACAGACTAATGAGCTCTAGAGTTTATAAAAAGATTTTCTTGTCTGCTAGATATGAGAGCAACATAGCAATTGTTTGCTCTGCTGTCTTTATTTAGAAGGAACCATTAATATAAATCAAGTGTGCTGTTGAACCTATTTTTGTAAGTTTATCATATTAAGATGATCAAGGTGCAACCAGAAGGACATTTATTATCTCTGTAACTTATGTCTATGTTCTAGTTTAGTGAAACATAAGGCATAGAAGTGCAACTTTAATAGCTAAGATTTTGACAACCATTGCTTTCTTCTGGCTGGAAATTGCTGAAGTCAGTGGGAAATCAGTTACGACTGTTTCCAGGATTGAATCTGAGTGACCCTGTGAGAGTTTTCTGTATCTTATGTAATTGATGAGGTGTGATTTCTAGACAACAAGCAGTTTCTTTTCCTCTGTCAAGATAGCTTCACAAAAAGAGTGGTTATGAGTTCACTTACTTTCATTTTGTGCTCTTGTAAATGTAACTGAAAACTAACATCTGCCCTCTGGCTCTGTGCAGAAAACCAGTGAGGCAATATGTGGCTCTCTCTATACTGCATAACTCTAGAATAATTTATAACTCGGAGGAGTTCCAGATGAGCTCGTAGAACTGTCTCAGGTTTTTGAAAGAACAGTGTTGATGTTTGCATTGAACAATGACCCTAGAACACAAGAAAGTTGTGTTAAGGCTCTCGTTAGTCTGCTGTTCCAACTTATACACTGCTATCTGTGATGCATTAAAGGCTCACATTGTTCTGATCCTTTTGTTGCTATTAGTATGTGGCCTGCGAGGTCATGCTTCTGCCAGAGCTGGACGTCAGATTTCTATTGCTTTGTGTCATTCTTAACAGCTTTTGTGTATGTGTGTGCATCTTCATGTAACCTTGTGAAATTCCTTTTGCTTGTTTTCTGCAGAACAGTGTCGTATGCTTTACAAGTTATGTTTTAGTAAAGTCATTTTAAAGTTTGGGGTTTTTTTTGCCATTTCTTAACTATTGGTTATGGTTGAGCTGATGGGGGAGATGCTGACAGTGCAGTCAGACATCATCTCTTGTTTGTTTTTTTGTAGGAAAGATGAAGTTAGTACTGTCAGATTTGCTCAGTGATAGCTGAACTCTGGGACAGTGTGGGCTGCTTTTACATGAGCTCAAACAGAATTAGTATGCTTTCTTTTGCATTTTTTCTGCCTGAATATTTGCTTGGAAACTTATTGAACGTTCAGCCGTTATGTAATTCCATGTAATTCATGGTATGTGTTTGTGTTCTCAGGCCATTGCAACAGAAGGGAAATACTGGAAACGAAGAATTGAAATAGTCATCAGGGAATACCACAAGTGGAGAACATACTTCAAGAAAAGGGTCTGTTGGTTTACACAGTGAAAGTAGCTTACTTGAACTTGGTCAGTATGTTGTTGCTTTTTGAGTTTTGATGTCACTTTTGCTAGCATGCAAGAGTACTTAAAAAAGATGATAAGCAGGCATACTCATCTGATTAGTCCCACTGAACTAAAAATTATTGTACAGGGACTAATTGTGCATGATTGGATCTTAAAAGTTTTGCAAAATGAGGTCGTCTCCTGGCATATACAGGACCAGTTCTGACTTTAACATCTGTTTTGTTCTCCTTTTGCAGTTACAGAAACATAAAGATGAAGATCTTTCAAGTTTGGTCAGGGTAAGTAATACCACTGATAAGTGGCAGCATTTATGCTGGTAGATGCTGCAATAAGTAACAAAGCTGTAACAAGCAGTAGCTTGCATTGATTAAAATCTAAAGATGAGCATCTTGCCTAAGCCTTAATTAGGGTTAGACACCTTAATGTTTCTGTGCCTTAAAGAGCAATGTAAGACTTGTAGCTTAAATTGGATGGAGGAGAGGTTGAATGTAAAGTGCTGTGACAGAAGAAATGAGAATTAGTATTGGGTGCCCAGAAATATCAATCTCTTTGAGGGCTGGCGCATTGTTTCATCTTGTTACTGAGTCGTAGCTGGCACTACTGCCTTGCTTGTGTAACTGGATCTGTGAAAATGTGTGTGCTACATGTTGCAGATCTTCCCGCTGCTCACAACATGGGCAAATAATGTGCCGGGATCCTAAAAAAGGCAAAATGTTTAAAGGAACAATGGTATTGCCATTTAGTATGCTCCCTAAAGCCATGCAACCTACTTTGGACGTATAACTGATCAGAAGCACTGTTCTGATTTTTCTTTTTTCTTTTTGGAGCTACGCATAAATCTGTATCTGTTCCAGTTTCACAGAACTCTCAGCTGTTTTGGCCATGAGCTCCAATGCACCATCATGGTATGTTGGTGTAGTTGCAACTACATGTTGGCTCAGCCACAAAACCTGACTGTGTGCTTTTAGTCTGCAGCAAATTCAAGGCAATGCAATTTAGCTTAGCCTGTAGTGAAGGATGGGTAAGCCAAGTCACGTTATGTTGTATTTTTCATGGGCTAAAAGTGGCCACAAGAATGTTAACATATCTTGTAGAAAGTCAGATTACAATTACACTTAACTACATTTCAGAAATTCAGATACGCTTCAAGATAGGAGTTGTTTGCTTTGAGTTTTTGCTGTGCATGTTATTTTGAAATCTTTATTTAAACCAAGGGATCGTTAAACTGCAAAAATATACGTGTAATCAATGAAACTAGAAAGTGGTGATGAAGTTAGTTTGTCTTATGTCCTTCTAGTCAACATTCAGTTTTCGGGCAAAAGCCTTTCCCAGAGTATTGTGGTATTCTACTGAAGTTTCCTGTTGTTGCTCAAATCAATGAGCTGAAGTTGTTGTGTTGGAAGTACCACTCATCTGTTTCAGTCCATCTGAATGGCTCCTAAAGGAGAGTTTCTTTCTCTAAAAATGTGAAAAATGAAGACTGTTTTTATATATCTGCACCTGACTGCTTTAGCATTGTCTAGGCAGCCTGACTTTTCTTCCTTTCCTTTGGCAGGATGATGATGTGGTTCTCTGGCAAAAAAGAAGGTATGGCAGAGAAACCCCTGTCCCTATGGAGGAAGGCAGCCTCTTGGATGCAGATATGCTTATGTCCGAGTTCACCGACACGCTGTTCTCCACACTGTCTTCGCATCAGCTGGTTTCCTGGCCAAATTCCAGGGACATAGGTATTTGTTGGCTGTTAGCTATGTTGATTTTACAATGGGAACCTCTGGGAGAAGTCTGGTTTGTTGCTTTGCTGCTTTTCTAGTCTTGCCTAAGACATTTTTCTTACTTTGCTGATACAGATAAAAATAGGTCAGAGAATGTAGCTGTCTAATGCTTTATAGGTTATGAAATCCCAGTTATTCATCTAAATTTAATTTCTCTCTTAGCTTCTTGCATGCTGCTCCTGGCATTGTCCTCTATTGCTCTGAATCAATCTGTAATAAGCAGTATTTACCTTTATCAGTGATGAAGGCATTGTTATTTATCTCAAAGCATATATGTGTGTGTGTGTGTGTGTGTGTGTATTTTTAAGATAATGCCTACGTATTTTTCTTTGGATATTTCCCTTAGAACAAGCACAAGTCACATCTGTAAAAACAATCCCAAGAACTACACAGTTCTGTCGAATGCTCTCTAACTGAAGGCACTGACTGTCTAATGGGACAGCAGATGTCCACTATGCATCATCCTTGCTGCATGGATGTCTAAACTGTCGGAGCAACTCCAGAGCAACTGTGGTTTACATGAATTGTACTTGAAGCAAAATGAAATGGATGATGGTTTATTTTAAAATACTGTGCTATGAGCTGTGGTGGTTCAGGTTGTGCTTCCCAGAAAGTTTATGTATTGTGCAGCAGGGGCAGGACAGGAGGTTTGGGAGCAGCAGGCATCCAAGCTTGGCAATCCCCAGTTGTTAGTTAGAGCCTTCAGGTTTCACCTCTTCCATTTTACTAGTTGAAAGTTTCTTTCCCCAATGGTTTTGATTTCAGAAAGAAAGAAAAGCAGGTGCTCAGTTCATTTCAGCAGCAGTTTTTCTGTAAACATCCTGGCCAAGCCTGGCTGTGGAGTGTGTGTTGGTGTTCTAGCCAAATGCTATATTCCTACTGCTGCTACTGTGTGAGTGATGTGAAGCTCATCTAATCTGTCTCTTGAATTTTCCAGCACACTTAGGAAATGCTGACATGATTCAACCAGGGCTTATTCCTCTCCAGCCAAATTTTGATTTTATGGATACTTTTGAGCCTTTTCAGGGTAAGAATCAGATATCTAGTCAATTAATTTCTTTAAAATTGCAGTGATTTATGAACTAGTTTTTAACAGAAGATTAGACATTGCAGATATCTACTCTCTTTAGAAGGCAAGAGATTTGAATGAAAGGTGAAGAACACTTGATATATGTTTTAGTTGTTCATTATTTCAAGCAGATGCATACATGGGTAGACTCCCTTGTTACTGTGACCCTGGTCCTTTACTTACCTGGGTTTGAGAGTCACTTTAGGGTTGTTTATTCCAAGGTTTGAACCTGGTTGTTAATTTGCCTTTCAAAAGAAGACCATTTAGACCTTAAGCCATTGAGTAATTAAAGATAGAACATCAGATGTGGACAGGAGAGCTCACAGAATCACTAAGGCTTTCCCATGTAACACTCCTTAGTGATGAAGTGATTTAACACTTTGTTTGCCTTGGAACATTTTCTGGTACTCTCAAGAATTACATATGATATTAAACTACTACTGACAACTTTGATGATTACAGAGTCAAACTGATGGTCATGGAAGTCAAAAGTCACATCTGCTTGCTGGGCCTGCATGCAGTCTGCATCAGATAACTGAATTTTGTGGGACTGCATTGAGAATCAGGTCTGGCTATCTGTGTGTAGGTGTTGTGGTTTAACCCCAGTTGGCAACTAAACACCACAGAGCCGCTTGCTCACCCTCCCCCCGCCCCAGTGGGATGGGGGAGAGAATTGGGGAAAAAAAAGTAAAACCCGTGGGTTGAGATATAGACAGTTTAATAGGACAGCAGAGGAAGAAAAAAGAAAAAAAGAGAATATACAAAGCAAGTGATGCACAATGCAGTTGCTCACCACCTGCTGACTGATGCTCAGCCCGTCCCCGAGCAGCGACCACTGCCCCCTGGCCAACTCCCCCCAGTTTATATACTGGGCATGACGTCATGGGTATGGAATAGCCCTTGGGCCAGCCTGGGTCAGCTGTCCTGGCTGTGCCCCCTCCCAGCTTCTTGTGCACCAGGCAGAGCATGGGAAGCTGAAAAGTCCTTTACTTGTATAAACACTACCTAGCAACAAACTAAAACATCAGTGTGTTACCAACACTATTCTCATACTAAATCCAAAACACAGCACTATACCAGCTACTAGGAAGAAAATTAACTCTATCCCAGCTGAAACCAGGACAGTAGGTGAACCTTAACGAGCAGACTGATTTTTGTATTGTCCTCAGCTTGCATGAAAGTTGAAGACTCCCCTGAAGAGATCAGTTCCTCTGGAAGATGACAATTCATTGCTCAGTCAACAGCAGTTGTATGAAGCAAAAATCTCGTGGTTTCATTATTTGCTAAATAATATTTATATTCCTTTGAATTTTAGTATCTAGCAATGCTGTACCTTGAGTATGAAAAGTAGAAAATTAATAGGTGACTTTTCATATTTCAGATTTATTCACACCTAGTCGTTCCAGTAATTATTTCCCTTCTGTGTCTGCTGTCAGCTCAGCTACAACAGACAGCAGCAGCCATTCTTCCCAGGTAAGAGAGGTTCTCAGTGTTTAAAACAGCCTCATCTCAGACATGTATGTGCTATGAAGACTCTCAGATGTGAGCCATGTCCTTCTCTGAAGTTCAGACAAGAGTTTCAGGGGTCATGTCTGAATCTGTAATGTTTTTCTTTTCTGTCAGTCTCCTGTCCTGCCGTCGGGTTCATTGCCCAACACACTTCCAGCAGGGAACATCAGTGATGGACTGATTGCTTCCTCGGTACCTGCTCCTGTCATTCCTGATGTTGGCACTGACCAGTGTTCCAGCATTAGAAGCGGGGGATCTTTCATCCAGCCAGCAGGCTTCACTCCTGACTCGTCTCTCAGCGGGCCACAAACTTTTATGCCAATGTTTCAGACACCCTTGCCACTGCTTCAACCTGCGACACAACAGCACCAGTCCCCGTTGCCTGCAGTGCCTCTGAATTCTAGCTTGAGCTCTCCGCCAGCTGCGTTTGCTGCACCAGAAACCCAGAAGTTTGGCCTCTGTGAATCTACAGTTATCACCCACACAGCCTCTGCTACGTTGACCCACAATGCCCCTGCCACCACCTTCAGCCAGAGCCAGAACCTTGTCCTGGCAACGCAGCAGCCAGGTGCAGGAGTGCCTTGTAACCTGGCTTTCCAGACTACTGTCCTGCAGGGACAGCCCCGGCCCCAGCTGCAGTCCCACCTGACATTTGCACTCCCCAAAGCTGTTCCTTTGGCCAGTGCTGGGACAAGGCCCAAACAGTCACAAAAAGTAGTGCCTGCTCCGAAGCCTGAAACAGTGTCCTTATTGTTAAAGAATGCCTTCATCACCCCAGGTGAGAAGCACTGGTGGGGTAATGTTTTTCTTTTCTGCATGGGACTAGCAGGAGGGAGAGACCTTCTTCCTTTTCTTGGTTTACATCATAAGTAAAAATACAGCTTCCTGAGGGTGTCCAAGGGAGCCCTGAACCCACTGGTGTGTGGCTACACTGTTCAATGGGATGCTCTGGACCGCTATGAGGATTGGAAGCGGTTTGGGTGTGAGCGTGAAAAGCCGACCTTCCAAAGGGGGGTATCTCCTCGTAAAATCTGTACTGGGCTGTATAGATGCACCAGCGCATGGGATGACTAGAGCTCTGTGCTCCTACCCCATTTGATGTTTAATGCTGTTCTGATTAACTCTGCCCCTTAGAGCATTTAACCATGGTAGAGCGGGAGATGGTAGGAGATAGTGTGAGATGGAGAATGGCAGATCTGTCCCTGTCATTGACTCATCTGGTTGCGCTGTACAAGTCACTACGCCTAGCTATGCATCATCGCGCTCTGTAATACCAGGGTACTGGTGTGCATCCTTTGGTAATACTTTGGATGTATTCTGAGGTTCATCTTAGTGTGCCTGAAACTCTTTGAGACTGTATACAGTGTTGGCTAGGGAGCAGCTGTTGAAGTGGACCACAGCATTGGTCCAGATGGAAGCATGGGAGTGTGCCTCTCATCTACCATCAGTGCTCCCTGGAAGGACCAGGGTGATGAGAATCACTCCTTCCAGTGAGGAAGGACTAAGAACAGGCAGGGGGAGCTGGAGATCTTTGTCTCAAGCAATCTACAGACTTGAGATGCTGTCAGGAGCACGTGGTTTTCAGCTCAGAGTGCCTAACCGATAGGCTGGGACTTCCACATTGGGTGTGATTTGGAGCCGTTGACACTGCACAAGGCTAAGAATAGCAAGTGTGAGCAGAAAGAGTTTTGCTTGTGGTGGTTCTTGTGGGAAAGCTCAAGACTAGAGCAGGACAGGCGGTACACTTTTTCTTGGGATTATTGCGCACTGTTTTTAGACTTGTGCTGGCTGGGGGCCAAGTGACTTCAGCCACCTGAAATGTGCAACAATAATCCAAGAAAAACCCTGCCTGGAGGAGTATTTTTAAACAGGCTGTACTACGGAGTAGGTGTGTCTACCAGGGCCTGGCATTGTGGTTACCCACCAAAAAAAAAAAAAAAAAATTGCTGTTCAGGAGTAGAACAGACTCAGGGATCTAATTCTAGCATGTCACTGGGAACAAGTTGGTCCATGATTAATAGCACTAGGGTGTTAATGGCAGTGTTTCTGTCTATAGCACGTTATAAAGCAAGAGGCCATGTACCTTCAGCAGTCAAGACACACACTTCTCACCTAGTAAAGCATTTTAGGCAGCTCTCATTTTCAGAAAGCCTTTGCTCCTAGCTTTCTTAGTGCTTCCTGGGTTCTTCCTCACCCCATGTATCACTTTCCCAATGCTTCATAAGTTACTTCTAGACCATCACAACAAATGGCTTTTTCTCATCTAGATTTAAAGTTGTTGCTGTTTTTCATTCCTGGTAGTGGCATATGTTCAGGGATCACAGTGCTGCTAAACTACTGGGACACCAAACTCCCAGGTCCCATCCGAGATTTTATGTGAAGACTGGAGCTTTATTTTTGGCAATAGAATAAACATTAGTACTGGTAACTGAGGCATTTATGCCTGTCATTTGTGTTCAGGACAAACAAATCATCTCATGACTATAAAGCAAATTGCAAAAAGAAACAGATGTATAATATTTACTGCCCTGTGATATAAGGACTAAAAAATCTCCACAGATTGTCTCATCAGGTGCAAGACTTCACATGGGAAAGACTTCGGCTATCACCACTTCAGGATAAATGTTCTGCTTTTGAGAGGAAAGTCTGCAAAAGATGCACGTATAGGATAGAAACATGAAAAATGTAAAGGGGCATCTAAATATGTGCTGATTGTTACAGTTACCCAAATGTGGAAGTCAGAAATACCAAGTTTGTGCAGCAGCATTAATGCACTGGTAAGAGTAGGCTCTTTAGCTCAATAGAGATGTCATAAGTCTGGCTGAACATCAGTGAACAGTGGAAGGGCTGTGATTCCAGCTTTATACGTGGGAATGCTCAGACAAAGAATGAACTCTGTATCAGAGTGACAGTGCTCTCTGCCAGATATACCCATGCAAGGGCTGACACAAGATTTATGCAATCCACAGGCCTTTCTAAAACAGGCTATGCAGAAACTTAAGTTGATTGAAAACACAGTTGTTGGTCACAGATGACACAGTAGGGGAGAGGACATTAGATATCATTAGATATCCTGCTCTGTTTCCCTCTTCTCTGTGTGTGTCCTTCAATATCCTGATGCTAAACTGCAGAGGGGTAGGTTGCCAGTGACTTGAGGTATTGTGACACTCTTCATACATCATGACTTTGTTAGTGCAAAGGAGAGCTGAAGCCAGTACAGGCTAGAATGAAACTGAGTAAGTTTGGGTTAGTTTTCTCAAAAAACATATAGAAGCTGTGTCTTTGCATGATTCTTCCCGTAGTAATAATATAGGATGGCTAGTCATGTTCTCTCTAAAGTCTGGGCAAGAACAATGTCAGCATTAATGCCATGTCAATAACTGTACATCTGCATTGGTTAAATTGAGACCTTAACAGATGTATGTTAGACTAGAATGCTGTAGTGGTGAAAAGAAACTTTAGAGCAAGGATCCTGATTCTTGTCATGGGGGCAAGCCTCCTGTACAGACTTTTCTGAGAATTTGTTGTAACTTTCTCTGTGGAGACAATTGCTGCTGTTCACAGTTATGTCTAGCTGTCTTAACACTGCAGAACTCCTGGTTCTTTAGCCTGTTTTCTTGAATTTTGGTGCTGATTCCCAATCACATTTGTTTGTCTTGTGCTTGTGTGTCATGTAAAGCAACTGTAAAAGCAGATAGTGAAAGAAGCCAGTAGAATGAAGTGGTGAGGAAGAGAATTTAATATATATATATACAAGGAAGCATGAAGTACTGAATGTGCATCCTTCAGTTGGTTTCTGGCATTGACCCTTTCTGGGTCAGCAGAGCAAGCCTGAGATCCAAGAAGTGTGATGTTAGAGGAGAGGTGAAGATGATCCTCCTTCTGTGAAACCCAGCTCTGATAGAATGAAGACACTTTGCACCTCTCTGATTTAGTAGGTACCTCTGTAAATTACCTTGAAACAGTGACAGTGATGCTAGAAGCCTCAGAAATAACTGGTGTGTTAGAGTCCTTTGTACTGGATTCATGGGATTGAGATTATCAGAAAACTGGTGGCACTTTGTATTGCAGTGAAATAGGTGCCCATTAATCCATTCCCCTGTTCAATGACAAGTTATTTCATACAAAATGATCTCCAGCTTTTTTTTTGTCTCATTAACTATTCTAACTTGTGTTCTTCAGCTGCCTTTCAGGGACAGTCCAGAGCTGTGATTGTAACTCCAGCACCTTTAAAAAGAGAGGGGATTTTGACGCCAGCCACGTCTCAGTCTAATGTTGCAATTGCACCAGCTGGAATTGTCAGAGTAAGGAGAAGAAAAAAAAAATATATTTGTTTTTTAGGCCTGTTATTTGCAAGTAGTTAGAGCTCTAATGTGCTCAGGAGGGTAACTAGTCCACTAAATCTCGCATGTTACCCAGCATATGCATTTGTGCATTCAGCATTATGTTTGCTTATTTTTAATTTAGCTACTTCTGTGGGCCTGGGAGCACTATCTAGTCTTCACAGACTGTCTTGCACAACAGTAAGATTACAAAGAGGCATGTATATACAGTAGTATAATGGGGATGGTTTGTCCTTTTTATTAATTGTGCAGAAGCTAGAAGGAGCCCAGGATGCTCATCTTTCCATTTACATATTGGAAAGCGTGCCTTGAGTATATGAGTGGGTTTCCCAATAAGTTGCATGCAGGAAGATGGAAGTTGTTTTTAGTATATTATGCTGTTGATGTGTTATAATACTGCTTTAAGTTATGAAAGGATACTGGTCTCCTGCCAGAAGTCTGACTTCAGTGCCTGCCAATTCCTTGTATATTAGCCTTTGTTTCATGTCATCAGATTGTTGATCATGTATTAATTTGCTACTTATAGTGAAAGGCAAGGTAACAAATCTCTCTCTCTTTCTTTCTCTCTCTCTCTCTCCCCCCCCCTTTGCCCCCATCCCCCCCTTCCTGCTCTCTTTTTCTTTCTCTCTGTTTTCCTCTGTGCTATTTCTATGCTATTCCCAGGCTCCCGGGGTGACGGAGTTCCGTAGTAACATTCTGGTTGGTCCAGCACAGCGAGCACCAAGTAGTCAACAAACTCAGTCCACAGTCTCACATCTCTTCTCTCCTAGTGTAGTCCAGGATGTGTTGGTGAAAGCAGAGCAAATCCCTTCCCACAGTAGCAGTTCACAAGTTCCCTCACCTACACCTAGTAAGTTAGAAAGCTGTAAGCTTTCTCTCTCCCCTACACATGTAAGTGTGTTTCCATTGGTTAGGCAGGGTGTAAATGGGCCTTGAGGATCCCTGAATAATTTTTTTTGAAGGAAAAGCTTTTTAGGCCCTTCTACCCTGCAGTTCGGTTGCATCCAGTTGTTTGCAATTTTTGTCTTAAGCTACTGTGCAGCGTTCCCACAAACTGCGATTTTGTGCTTCCTGTAAGTGGCTCCTTTCTAAAAGGATGTACTGTCATAGTCACCAAGAAATTAAACCCATTTGAAAGGCATCTGTGTAGAAAGTGCTGAATAGGTTTGCTGTTCAGTATCATAACTATGATTTTGATTGGAGGATCTCAGACACAATCCTTGTTAACAGTAGGTAAGTGCAAAGACTCCTTTTGCATGCGTGTTGATAGAGCAGTATCTGGGCCGGTTTTGGAGGCATACGCTGATTTTGCTGGTAAATGGCTTGTAAGTGTTACTGTCTTGTCCCAGGCCACTAGAGCCTCAAATGGGGGAGTCTAGCAGGACAATGGAATTGCAGCCTACATGTTCAACATGCCTTTGCTGAAGTGTGTGTGTGTGTGTGTGTGTGTGTGAGGGGAGTATTACATATTGCTATTTGGGATGTATTAACCTTGTGCCGTGGAATACTAAGTCTTCCCAGCAATCTTGAAGTTTTCTAGCATGTGGTTGCTGCATCAATGAATATAATTTGGTTGCCGACCATGTTTCAGTTCAATTCTGAATAGAAATTTCTCAGCAGTTACACTTGCTACAGAAAGTTGTTTGTTAATGTGACTTGTCTTTCTTCCTTTATGAAGGCCGAGACTGTCAGAATTCAGGCCAAGCTTCTCCCTGCACCTCTGAGCAGAGCCCCAGTCCACAGTCTCCCCAGAACAGCTGCTCAGGAAAACCTGCCACTGACCCTAATATGGCTGCATTAAAGGTGTGTGTCCTTTCCTTTGAGGTGCTTTTCTTCTTTGCCTTTGTGGCTACTTTTCTGCTCTGATGTCTGAGCATGGACTAGAGAGTAAGTTGTGCTTCCGCAACAGTGGAGTATTTGTGCCTTAAGCTTAGCTTGCACCGCATCTGTGCTGCTCTGTTCAATTTAAAATGCCAGACTTTAATAATCTGCTCTGCTCCTCAGGGTTGTGTCACCAGAGGGGCCAGGCTTAACTGTACCTCTGCAGGTCCTTATGGTCATAACAGCAGTTCCTACTGTGGCTCACAGGAGTGTTATGACAGGTCTCAGTTTACTTGGTCAAAGGTTTCAGGCTTAGTTTTCTAAACCGTGGCTTTTTGCCATTGTTCTGTTGGGGATCTTCAGGTCTGCAGGGCTCTGGCCATCGCTGGAGGGGGAGTTCTTGACCTGCTGAGTTACTTACATGTCTCCAGTGATGCTATGCTGCTCCACAGAGAAGCAGCTCCACAGACTCTACAAGTTACAGCTGTAAAACACTTCGAGAATTACTGGGGTAAGAACTCGGCGGTCTAGCGATAGCATCTGAAAGCTGGCTGTACCTCATACACAAGCTGACCTTGTCAGAACACTTTCTGTGATGTTACGAGAAGCTTCTCCGCAAATGCAGGAAAATCAACTCTAACCTCCTCATTCTGTTGTGAAAGGGAGTGTTACTTAACCGTTTTGCAAGTGCCAGCCTCTTTTTGGCTTCTCTGTCTTTGTCTACCCTTGTCAGCTTGATTACTCTCAGGGCAGAAGGGTAAGTTTAAACACTTGCAGCCTGTGGTTGCGCTCAATTCTAGCTCTGTTGCAGAGGAGAATCAGAACTGCCGCTTGTTGAGCACGCTGCAAGTTACTCGTAAAAGTCTGCAGTTCTTTGCTTGGCATAAATGCTCACGATCAGTAGTTGCAGCCTGTTCTTGCTGCTAGAGAGCAAGTTAACAAAGGAACAAATCATTAGGACTTGGCCGATGGTGGGAAAGTGGCCACTAGATGGAGGAGTGTTCTTAAAAGTAAGGGCACTGCAACGAGATAGGCTTTATAGCCATTTAAACTCACCTGCTTTGACAGGAATTGCTTGGGGTGTGTGCTGTCAGTAAGTCTTTTGTAAGACAAGAGAGAAACAGTGATGTTTGCCGGTCTCTAGATGTATGTTCTTTTGCTCCTCTGCATTGTTAGTTAGACTAAACTGTTCTGTATTGCTGGGTAACATTGTTTTTTCAGTTTGGCAAAGCATAGAGGATGCTGGAAATATCAGATCTGCTCTTGAACCTGCGTTTTCTGTGGTTTTGGGCAGCCATTTCACTGCTTTATTACATTGTTTTCCTTCATTATAAAATGGGGTGATGGTGAGCTACCACCGGAAAGCCTAGCTCTACCGAGAATGCATTTTCAAAGTGCAAACTCCTCCTTTTCTTTCAAGGGTTTTGGTGGAAACAACTTCTAAGTTTTTAGTGCTACAAATGAACATGTTAATTCCTGACAAAGCCTTTATCCTCAGGATAGGCCAGAGTTGTGGATTCTTTTTTCTTTTTTTTTTTCTTTTTTAACTTTTGCCAGACTGCCTGTTTACATCAGTAGACATTATGTATGTATTAGGAATTAGGAATAAATAATATGGACTGTTTTAAACCTAAAGGCTTCAACAAGTTCCTAATTAATTACATGCCTCAAAAATTGGAATTTGACTTCAGAAAAGGAAATTGTGTAACAGTCTTAAATAGGAATTTTTACTTTAGGAAGAAAACCTTACAAGGTTTGGAATTGAATTTAATACACTGGACACTTCTTTTTAATAACTTAAATCATTGTTTGCAAATTTATAGTCATGTGGCTTTGACTGGGAAGACTATGAATGCCACAATTCAAGAAAAGCGACACTGTGAATTTGAATAGCTGAAATAGTCGTAGCAGTAGAACGGTAAAGGAGAACAGCGTAGACTGAGCTAATTTTATTTATGCAGAATCGAAGAATGAAGCATATTTCAGAACAAAAGCGAAGGTTTAATATCAAGATTGGTTTCAGTACTCTGAACAGCTTGGTTTCAGCCAACTCCAAGTCGGTAAGTAACTTGGCAGCACTAACAGTTTAATATGGAATATAAGAAACAGCCATTCTAAAAAGACTTGTTAATAAATTTAATCTTTTCACTGTTGACCAAGAATGCCGGTCAGTCAGTGAAGATACTTGAACTGAGGGACTTGGGAAGGGAAGAGTGATAAATCCATGGCTTATAGTCAAAAGAGTGTGTGAAAGCGCTTAATCTTTTAGAGATTGTTCTTCTGATGCAGCTTCAAACGTTGATCAAGTCTTGTCTGATGAGATGCTGCAACTTTAAAGCCAACAGGGAAAGAAGAAAAACTGATCTTTGCAATCCTTGCTCTTGGGACTCCAGTAATGAAGATTTTTGTCATGTTTGCAGCATAAGCTGACTTTGCATTTACTGTTATGTCACCTTTCTTCTGACATACTGGCTTTTCATACCCATTCTGGATGGGTTCTGGTCCCCATAGCTGGGCTTGAAAAAGCTATGGTCCAGCCAGTATTGAAAGCTTATTCTGTCTGAACTGTGAGCCAGCCAGAAGCCAGGTAGATGCTGTTGGTATGATGCTGGGCCTGGCTTAATATACCTTGACATTTGGCCTGAGCTGATATACCCATCTATGAGCACAGCTTGTTCGCTTAGGTTTCATGCCATGCTAACCACAGCTGTGCTGCGTTTGGTCAGCTGAGAACATGGCAGAGCAACCTTCTGTGCCTGCAAGTGCTGTTGAAACATGTGAGTGAGCCAAAGGAAGAACAAAAAAGTCCAGTGAAATTTATAAAACTTCCTGCACCTCCCAGGAGGAGTCAGGAGCCTGGCCAGTTCAGATGGTTTTGAAAATCCCTCTAGGACTCTTTACATCTACTATCACCCAGCTGCCTTTAAGAATTTGGCCCTGTGCCCACAGCCTTGCAAATATTCTCAGGGTTCCCCCCGGTCACCTGTCCTTTGTGCATAGATTTACAGAGAAAAAATTTCCCAGCTGACTTCTCATTGTCAAATGACTTCGTACAAATTAAGAACATATTCTGGCTACGCTAGTTAACTTAGTTCACTAAACTGAAATCAAAATAATTGAAACATAGTCTTGTCTGCACAACAAAATTCTAAATGTCCTTTAAATACCAGTACCTTTTGAAACATGGAAAATATGAAAGCTTATTGTGCAGCTTGTTGATTTGTTTACATAATTTTTATAGTTTTATACGTTTAGGTCATAAGTTGTCAGAATTTCACTTCCTGATTTGAATAGCCTATTTGAAAGATAGTCAGTTTTGAAAACTCAGCTTTAGTAAAATGTCTGATTATTTTATTTCTCAAGTACAGTTTTTTTAATTCGTTCCTTAAAACTGAAGGGTATTTTAAAAAAGATCTGTGACATTGTTTCTGTCTCCTTTGGTGATAGCTAGGCTGTGTTACCTTCTGTTTAAGAACTTCGGGTTTCCCAAACTAAATAATCTATATTGTCAACTTCAAACAATGCTTCTAACAGCACTATAAATCTGTCAGCAGATGTAGCATATCCTTCAGTGCTGAAGAACTGTAAATATTTTTAAGAGGGTAGGTAGTGAAATGAAACATTTTTAAATTATTAAAATACTTCTTTCAACAAAGTAGCAAAAATTTAATTTGTGGAAGAAAACAACCACCGCAACCACATTTCTCTGTACTAGTGTACACAGGAGTCAGAGAAATGAAGAGTTTAGTATTCTTAAGTGTTTCACTCTGCCTACCTGTGTGCTTTTGCACACAGTGAAGGAAACTTAAGAAAAGGTGCTGAGGTGCTTTTCTAGGTGTTACAGTAGGTTAGGGGCAAACTTCCTCTGTCTAGCTTTGTTCCAGAAAGTGAGCTCTATGTTTGTGTTTGGTCTAGATCAGCCATGCAATCACGCTCCAGAAAACAGTAGAATATATCGCTAAACTACAGCAGGAAAGGACACAGATGCAAGAGGAAACCAGGCGCCTTCGGGAAGAAATCGAGGAGCTAAACGCTACCATCATGTGAGATTCGGGGAGCTTTCTGTAATGAAGCAGAGCAGCTTGAATGTTGCTTTGGCTAACAACAGGGAATGTTTGCCTCGGATACCATGCCAAACAACAGATGGGTATTGAACAAAAGTAGAGTTGCTACCAACTTCCGAACAAAAAGCATAGTTGCTGTGGGATGGGCATTGGTAGCATATCAATTGGTAGCATGCTCTGAGCATGAATGCACAACAGTGGCAGCATCAGAAAAGATGTATCACGTCAGTTAGAATAATTCTGAGAAGAAGCCAGTGACGATGTTGGTTTTTTAAAGCTATGCTCACTGGGTGATCAAACACTCTTACTCTTCATGATGGCTTTGCTGCAGTTTTCTTTCCAAATGCAGTCAATTTTTATACGAAAATATGGTTGAGTACATAAGCCACAGGACTTGGAATCAAGGAGCTTGCCACTGGCTGAACGTAACTCTGATAAGTCGCTTCACCTTCCTGGTGCCTCAGTTTCCCCTGTGGGTTTACAATAGTTATGTACTATTGCAAAGCATGTCGAGAACCCCAGTGGTTTTTCTTCCATCTACAGAAGTGTTAGGCTTAGGCATTATGTTAGACTTATCAGAAAATCAAAATATTTTTTTTTTCTTTAAAAGTACAATGACGTCTGTTTGGTTTTATTTTATATTTTTCTGTTTCTTAAGAACCTCTGTAACATTTCCTTCTGTAACATTGCTCAGAAGTAACTCTGTAAATTTTTCCTTGACTCTTAATGTGCCTTTTTCTAATTGGATGCCAAAACCTACTTTGTTCTATGTTATACTTTTGTTTTCAGTTTTGTTGCTTGTAAAAAGAAGCGTGTAGCAGCTTGAGAAATCACTTTGCTGTGTGAATATAGACAAAATTGATGGGAAAACAGTATGTATTCCTGGCTATAACAATTACATTCGGGAGGGGGTCATGTACTGGGAAGCCACCTTGGTCAGGGATACTGGGGATACACACTGTTCTCCTGCTATAATTTAGTCTGGAAGAGAAGTGTGTCCTTCCTGGTGGGCATCCTGACCTCAGAACATCTTTTCAGTTCTTGTCAACAGCAGCTCCCTGCTACTGGGGTTCCCATAACATGGCAGAGATTTGACCACATGAGGAGGATGTTTGATGAGTATGTGAGAAGCAGGACCCTGCAGAACTGGAAGTTTTGGATTGTATCCTTTTGTATTAACCTGCTAAACTTCAAGTTTGGTACTAATATGTTTAGAGCCAAGAACTCTGGATTCTGATGCTGCAATTTTAAGCCAAGTTGTTTAAATAACATATATCCTCAGTTTTCATTCACATCTGTATGTGGATATGAATCCTTACCTTACGGGCTGTCGTGAGGCAGAACTTGTTCACCGTAAAGTATGGGAGGTAACTTGAAAGTAAAATGCAATATAAAGGAAAGGGTTTCTTGGTGGGTTATTATACTGCAAGAAATGTTTCATGGACTGCCTCTGTAACTGTAGCTCTTGTAGCCTTTTGGAAAAACTAAACAGAGAATAACAAAAGATTTCAGGAAAAAAAATACAAACAATTACTGAAGCTGTTGCAATGGCAGTTCTAAAAACCTGCACGTTTTTCTTTTTTTTTTCTTTTCTTTTTTTTTAGTTTTCTGTTTGTCTTTTGTTACAATAGTGAATCAACTTAGTTTCTCTTTGTTTCTCCAATGCTAGCAGCTGTCCTTGTAAGCAAATGATAATGCAGGAGGTAGAAAGGCACAACCTAAATGAAACCAAGTTAGCTGCATTTGTGCTGTGTTGTATAGACTTAACTAGTTTGGATCAAATATCATTAGCTTGAATCAGTTCAGGGATATTAGTAATTAGCAATGAGCAGCAGTGTTAACCTTCCCTTTTCCCATTAAACTTCATAGGTACGTATAGCTATTTATTTGCACTTTATATTTTGTATGTCTGTGTTCTGTGCTGGTTATTTCCCTCTACCTACCTGGATAATATGAGTATACATGTGCATGCTTGTGCATGCATGATGTACAGCATTTTTAATACTTTGACATGTGAAAATGCTTCCTCTGGTGATTCCTGGTTTACGTTGGCCCTAGAAAGACATTCTTCCTTTTAGCATCCTTTTAGGAAACAATTCTTAGCAAGATCTCTCACAGTCTCTGATAACGTAGAGCTGGCGGAACTGTGAAGCCTCTGGATTCTACAGCATTATTAACTCTGGAACAATTTCAAGTGATTATGAAAATAGATATCTTTAATATAACAATGAAAATAGCTATTTAAAGACAATCCCGCACATGTTTGCTGATTGGATAGTGTGTTTATTTTATGCTACTCCAAGATGTTAAATAGCTCCAGAACTTGGAGGTGAGACACTTCTAGAAAGTGGCAGAGGTTATCAGGGATGAAGATGCAATTTTGGGCAGCTGGGTTTTGTAGTATTTGGGAAAAGACAAAGGCTTTTGTAGTTGGTAAAGGAGAAGGTTGATAGGCAAAGTAATGTTCCCAAACTTCCCTTTACAAGTCAGGATGTAACTGTGACGGAACAGTTGTTCTAACAGCTGGATTAAATCCCTAATGCATGCTGCCGTATTTCAGAATGTCTTGCAGTAAAAGCTGACAAGGTCCAGGGGTGAGTGCTAGTAACAATAATAAAAAATCTCCTCCTCATTAAATGACTGTAAGAGAGAGAAGGGCAGTTTCATTACAAATATGAAAATACCATAGTTTCTGTTGCATATAGGAGGGAAATGAGTAATCTGGTCTTGGGCTACTAGAGATAACCCAAGAATAGAATACTCTTGAATATTAGAATACCAATAGGATAGTACCCATGTTGTTCTTCCAGGAACTCAGTAAAAGTCTGTAAGGGCATGCAAATCCCCTCAAGTATTCCAGGCAATTGTTAGACCTATCTTGATTGTCAGTCACAGTGAGAAAGATGGGGGTGCATGACAATGCTGAGATTGGTTTGGGCACATTGTCACATGCTGCTGACTGTAGTCAGAAAATCCCATCTGGAGTAACGTGGTAAAACCAAAGATTCTAGGCCTTCAGATTAGTTTTATCATCTGAACAGCTTCTGGAATAAATGTACCTGTAAGCTGGAATCTACTTGGTGAATTACCATGGCAATGTTATAACAAGCTGGTTTGAGTTCAAATATGGTGACCGTTCCAGCAAAGCTCATCTGAAAGCCTGGCAGCTGAGGCCAACTGAGGCTTGTGGTGATGCTCTGTATGTTTTAACACACTACAGGCCAAGAATTCTCTCTGCTCCTTTTCTGCCAGGAAGGTTATTGCCAATTCCAGGCCCATCCTTCCAAGCTGTGATGATAGAGAACCAAAAGAAAAGCCTGGCAGTCCTCAGCTTGCTACTGTTCTGGTCCACGTAGATGCAGATCGGCAAGTCTGGTCCTTGGTGTGGGAATCCTTGCCATGGCATTGATCGTCACTGAAAATATGCTTATGTACTTTGAGTTTTTTGTTTAGCTGCAGTAACAGAGAACTTTAGTGTTTGCTGAAAAATCTGCCTGAGAAATTGGCTGAATACTTGCACTGTTGGCCTGTGCTGGACTCACTATTGCCAGGCAAAACTCGTCCAGGGACCCCACCTCGAATGATCTGTGGTGTGCTATGGTAAGTGGTGTGGTTACACTAAAGCTTCTATATCGTTCTGCTAGGAAAGTGTCAGTGTTACATGAAAAAGGTGGGAATGAAGAAATTGAATGAATTGTATGTATGTAGAAATTCCAGATACTCATGCGCTTGCAACAGTGCCACAGCGTGCAGTTGGTTTGTAGGAGACCAGGTGAGTTGTACAGGAATTTTGCAAAAAATAATGAGTATCACTAGGAACTGAGGTTCAATTTTTTCCTTTGTCTTAGTGTTACAGATTTCAAAAAATATTTTTTGAAATGTTGCAATCCCTTTAGTAGTTGAAGTCCATTTAGAAGTCCATTGTTTTGTCTGCAGACTGAGCTGTGGTAGCCTTTCCCATAGAATGTTTTGAACTCCTCCTTTGTTGTCTCCCTTAACATTTGATGATTTGCAGTTCAGCATTATTATTAAGCCGTTGTTTGAGTCCTTTGATGGGATGGTTTCCACAACAAGCTTTAAGGATCTGAATCAAACTGCAATGGCCTGGCTGGATCAGCACTGTTCTCTTCCTGTTCTGAGGCCAAGTGAGTAAAGTTCTATCCAGCAGTTATTCCAGATCATAGGAAGTGAGACTGTATATAATACCATTTCTTGAAAGTCAGAGGATGACAAAGAAAGCACATGATGCTGAATATGACTTCCAGTTCTTTTTTATTATGTCAGTGGAAAAATAAGAGCCCCTCTTGTCTGTGAAGATACTTGGTTGCTTACTTAACACTGAACAGAGAAAAAAAACCCAAATTGCTGAATATAGATACCAGAATTTAAACAGCCTCAAGCTGCATTTAAATTTCAAACACTCCGCTCTAGTTGGGGTAAGTTTGGTAGTATGATTTATCTCATTATGAAGGAAGACTTCTGAGATTTGTATTCAGCTTTGGAATGACCTTCTGTTTGGGCATGATTGCTTGATCCTTTCTCCCTTGCAATTCAGCAAGTATTTACGTTTACGGTTATAATTGCCAAGTGGTAATCTCTTTGTAGAAGAAATACGTGATTTTTGGTTTTTTTTAAAAAGTCCTAGATCTCCATTCCTTGTTCCCTGGGCACAGTTCTTGCACATCTCTGTTTATTGCTGTTGCTATGTGTGGAGGTGTGCATGTTTTGCAGAAGCATTTCCATAATTCTGTCATGCATAACAGCCTTGCATACCTGCACACTATGCTGCATGGATCTGTTTGCAGTCAGACTAATGACTTTTGATACTTTTCTGACTTTTTTTTATAGTGGTGCTGAACACCCTCCGGCATCTAAGTACAACCACCTCAATTCTGTCGGATCCATCGTGCTTGCCAGAGCAAGCTGCTGAGGCAGTTAGCAAGATGAACAAAACAGCTGGCGAAACCTAACAACCAAAGACAGTGAGTTGCTTATACAAGGGTGGAGAACCTGCCAGTCTAGCAGCCTGGCGAGCCTCCTTTCAGTTGGTGCACTTTAGAAAGAATTCTCTCCATCACCTGAGACGTTGTTCAGGGCATCTGGCTCTGCCATCAGAATATGTGGAAGTATGATGCAACGTTGTCATAACGTTTTGATTCCTCTTCAGTGCTGTGCTGTACTCCGTTAAGTGAGAAAACACCGAGCTCAGGTAAATTTAGCAGGTTTGAGTCCTGCAGGCAGCAATATATCTCCATCAATGCAGCATGCATCTATATGCAACAAACATATTTCTATGAAACAGCTTCAAGTACTAAGTTCTCTGAAGTGTAAATCTTGTACACCAAGGAATGTTCTCTTAAAGGGGAAACATACTTTTGATTTCATGAAACAAAATGTGCTTTTTATTTTGTTTTCTGGTATTCAGTTCCATTTGTGTTACTTGAATATTGAAAATTGTTGAACAGGATCATATTAAAAACCAAAGGAGAAGAAAAATCCGTCAATGATGACAACTCGTGGCAAAAATACTAGAATTAAAATCTCAGGCTGTGTTTTGTGTATTTTTATTTTAATGAGTGTATCATTGCATATGATCGGTTTCAAGACATGCTTTATTTTCTAGCAAATAAAGTAGTTGATTTTTATTATTTTTCCTGATACAGCCATTGCATGTGAGTAGCAGGCTGTGCAGTAAGTGCAAGAAAGCAGTTTTAGATTGCATAGATTCTGCAATTAGGACAGATACGTGAATTTCATACCCATATAAGCTGTGAACTGTTTTCTTGCAGTCTGCAGAGTTGAGCTGCCTTCCTCATAAAATGTGCGCATATAAAACACATCCATAGATAAATGTAGTAGCGCTTCAGAGACAAGAATTGAGTTTGTAGTGTTAAGAAATTGGCTTTTTTGTTATCTCAGAAACTATATCAAATCACATGGATTTGTAGTCAGTTCTTTGCTTCTTTGTCTTTTTTGCTTGTTCTTTTTGCCTTCTATCTGAAAAACCTGAAGGACTTAGCTAAATTTGGTCTGTATGGGAAGGTTATAGAATCATAGAATCGTTTGGGTTGGAAAAGACCTTTAAGATCAAGTCCAACCGTTATGTTCAACATGAACTGTAAAACATCTAAAAATATGTTTAAAACCCGAAATACTGCATAACTTTTTTCCGTGACAGTCTCAGCAAGTACTGTGCTCTGCTGCAGATAAATTTAGTCTCATTACAGCAGTGATAGTCTGTCCATCCTGAGACAGCACTGGGATATTCATTCTGGCTGATTTGTTCCTAGTCTGGAATGACCCTATGACCCTTGGAATTCCACTCATTACTTGATTCTGATTCTTAAGAGCTATGCAAACTGTGGGTAAGGTTTCCCTTGTACCTCCCTTGAGTAGTTTTCTTCCAGTTTCAAAAGCATGCTGCCTGGAGGTGATGAGCAGCCTATCACAGTGCTAAAATGAGGAGCAGCTAAAACATTTGGGCATTGCACATGCTTAAATGGGGTCAGTGGGTTCTCCTTTTGGTGGGGGGATGTAGTTTTTCTCTGCGTTGTCCCCAGTCTTCTCTGCTTGATGGGCCAAAGTTTTTTAAAAAGAAACAATAGGCTTGGGAAGTGGGACTAAGCACAGGGAGTATTTTTCTTTCTTCTTTGTCCTGAGATTTTGCAGCTTTCATTGCAGAGTTCACTTATTTGAGAGCAGGACCGTAGCAAGAAGAAAGCATGAAAGGTTAAGGCCAGGGCCCTCTCCCTGGGCAGAGTTACTGTGAGTTGAGGAATTGGGGACTGAAGGGGACTGCTGGGGGGAAAAGGAGACGAAGGGGAAGACAAAATGGCATGATCTAAATACCAACATGCCTTTTGTTTTTTTACAGTAGCTCTGACACACCATTTGAAGTTTGTGGCACATGTGAAAAGCTGTGTCCCTGTGACTGGTTTGCTAAAATCGTGTATAAAGGTTATCATAGTAATTAAATAGTGAGTAGATTTTCTGGGGGGATCCGTATCTAGGTCTTGCGTACATAATGTTGTAATCAATTAAGCAGTATTCTTTGGGATGCATCAGAATAAAAAGTGTTGAATAAGTGTAAATTCTTTTTTAAATCCCCCCCCTATTTTTATCATCGATTGTGAACTTGATTCCAGTGAAGTCATTTAACACTGTGATTAGCTGGGGAGAGTCCCTCAAGTTTTCTTTACTGGGCTATCTCATTGAGATGCGTAGATATCTACATGCATAGTTGCATGTTAAAAATATGTATCCGGGTTTCTAGAAAGAACTCAGTAGGCAAATTGTCCAAGAACAGACCCACTTGTGTTTTTGCTGTACTTTTCAGATTAACAGATTCTGTAATGCCTCCCCTGCAGTGTGGTCTCCTGCTTGTCAGGCAGTGATTGTGCTTGATTTCTGCCATTACTAGTATCAATGACATTAGTTTTGTCTCAACGAGCAAAGTGCACTACAAGTATACTTCAAAGCCCAGGGAAGTCTGACGACTTCTAAGCTTAAATCCTAACATCTCAGATCTCACTGAATGGATTGGAAGCTGAAAGGGACCTTAAAGGAATAGAAAGGGGTAGCGCGATTGAACTGCTAAAAATTTTGTCCATTAGCAGTTTTTATCTGGATGGAAAAGCCATCATGCTCATTGCAGCGTGAGCTGGTTACAATTGGAGGGAAAGTGCTTATTTTAATAACTTGCGGTGGAGAAACAAGCTCATGGCACTATTAAAAGACTGCAAATCTTAACATAATAAAGAGAAAAAAATTAAATCAAAGATTGCTTACTTAGGCAAGAGTGTAGGAGGGAAGGAAGGAAAAGTGAAAAGATACTTTCCACGTAGTGCAATTACCAGAAATGATGTAGCTGCTCTATGAAGCAGTGATTCAGTGTATTTTTGTCACCCTGTTATTGCAAATCAGAATTCTTTTATTTTATCAGTTGACCTTGTGAGTGGTGTGATTTTACTTCATTTGGAAACACAGGAGGAAAAAGCTGTATTGTGTCTCGCATCTGCGCAGTAAAAGTACTGAGGATTGGTATGAAAAAGAATTGACCACGTATGTATTAATTCCTGCATAGTTTTCTACTTTCGTTTATAGTTGCACTCCTTAGTCTGTCTGTCTTACCCATTGAGGAGTCTAAATACTATATTTCTTTACAAAAAAGTTTGGTAACACTTTCTCCCCTGATTTAAGCAGTCTAATTTCCTCAGTGTCACCAAAGTATACTTAAGCAAGCAAAACACACGGTGCCTATACTCTACACGGAATTACAGATGATGCACGTCTGTCTTCAGTGAATTGGTGCTAAACTTTTAAAGAATCCCCGTATAATTGAATACAAGTCATTTTCAGTCAAATCCAACATACTTCACTCAATAAGGGAGTGGCTAGATAAAATATTTATGGCCTGTGATACGCACAAAGTCAAACTGAGATTGTCTAGTGGCTCCTTCTGACCTTGAATTCTCTTGATCAGTATATTGTAGATGGCCCCCAGTGCAAACACAAGTTCTGGAGAACTTGTGCATTGTCCGATGTAGTTATTAGGCTTGTATGATGCTCCCTGTTAGCAGGAGGAATAAGTGGTGAAAGCCCAGGAGCAAACTCGAGTTGAAGGAATTAATGAGTAGTAGCAACAGAGACAAGTGCATGCTTCATCTTGACAGTCTGATCTCTGCACAAAACCAAAGGATTCTTAATTAATACCATTTGACCTGATTGGCATGTTCTTCCATGCTTTTCTAGGCCCCTTGGGAAGCCTTCCTTGAAGGGAGGCTTACTAGAATGTTTCCATCTGTGCCTTAGATCTTGGCGTCCTGTATGCATTTGATTTATCTTAAGTCATACGTTCTTCCCCCTAATACAGTGCAATGTGGAAAATTCAGTGAATTGACAAAGTGGGGCTTCCCTGGGTTTTAAGAGGATTTTATCTGTGTAGCATTACAGTGTCCCTTTGAAACTGAGGCTGTGAAAAATTGTGTGTACGTATGGATTCCTGCTGACTTCACTGTCCTCCCCTCCTATGTACACAGGCACATACGCACACGTGTACATACTGTCATACCAGAAGTTTGACAGAAACCCGGTAAATATGCAAATGCTTAAATTTCTAAATCTGGAGTGGCCTGAAAAGACAAAGGGCTGTCAAATTGCATTGGAAAATAACGTCCCTTTACTTTGTATCTTCAGGGTTTTTTTTTTTACATTCCCTTGAGTGCGTGTGCGTGTCTGTGTATGCATGTGTGCTGCAGATGAGAGGGGCAGGTAAATTTTGTTTTGTTTGCTTTTAAAGCCCCAGAATCCTGAAGAGCAGTTTGAGAGCAGGAGAGAGAAGCTCACTGCAGAAACATTCACTAAGATAATGCTTCTGTGGTACAAATTATTTGAAAGGTATTTAACTTTCTTTGTTTCTGGAGTGGATAATTCTTGCCTTGGTGTTGCCAACTAGAAGATACTGCTGAAAATAGAATGGGTTGTTAACTATTTTGACCTCTTTCTTTGTTCCTTCCTTCCTTTCTTTCTTTACACCTTTATTGCATGGAAAAACACCCAAAATGAAAAAGGCTGATGATACCTGGTTTAGGTGCTTTAGGGATTCAGTCATCCCAATCTTTGAGGAGTATGGACAGCTGTTGATGACTTTTAGGAGGTTTTTTGATTAAGTGAGACAAGAGGAGTTTTCCTATTACTCCTCTTCAATTTATATACTTGAGTTTCAGAGGAGATAATTTGTTTTGGGGCTTTTTCTTTTATAGGGCCCCAATATTGTTCCCACAACATCAGTTAAGGCCTCAAGTTTCCTTTTGTTTCATTCTTGGTTGGATTTCATGCTCATTTACTGTGTTAGAGCAGAAGTGGTAGTACCGAATTGTAGATTGATCCGTAAAACTTGATTGTTACAAAGAAATACATCTTAGGTATATATAATAGAATGACTTTCTAGCCATTGTCTGAACGGCTTTTATATCTGAACTTTTCCAACACAAATAAGGTTTTGAATCAAAATATATCAATGTTAGGAGCAAGCCTTTTAATTAACAATACAATGCTCTCTTTTTTTCCTCTAACCTTGTATTTAAATGTGTTTTAAGTGAATGGAGTTCATTCTTGTTCACAAAAAAAAAAAAAAAAGAGAGAAGAAAAAAAAAAAGCTTGGAGGTATGAGGACTTCAGGTTGTGCTCTTGCTTTGGCTAGGTTTCCTGTTCTGTTGCATGACACAGTTTCTGTTGTGCTGTTGATACGTAGCACTTTTCAGTAGGTCTGTTAAATTGTGCAATGCATTTTTTTATATTTACAACCAAAACAATAAAGGTTATTTTTTGGAAGAAACTGGTTGTGATGCCTTTATTTTCTAACTGGACGTGGGGTAAAGGTAAGTGGAATAACAGGACCTGCCATCCTTTTTGCAACTCTGAAAGGTGACAAGGGCTCATTTCCCTGTTAGCAATGCTGAAGTTACCCCTTTGGGATCTGTGTTTGGCTTTCCCATTGCAAGCCTTATATCCTCTGTTAAGCTTCTGAAGCTTGGACTTCTTTGAAGAAACTCGGTGCCCCTTGGGCCCTTCGTGACTGAAAGAATCAACTCACCCTGATGGGCTTACTTGGAGCCTACAAGTGGTTTCCTTTACTCGT